GATCATCTATAATAAAAGCATCATATATAATAAACAACATCATCTATAATTTTTAAAGTAATTTGCATATTTAACAATAAAAAATAATAGTGAAATAATTTATGATATACCCATATAACCAAATAATGTTTCAAACTTCAAATTTCAGCCATTAGCAGATACTGAAATGAGAGAGTAGTGACTATAATATTTTAATAAACAAATGGAAGACAAACAGAAAGGGAATATTAGAGTGTTTTCGTCACTTTTCTATTGCTGAGATAAACTATCTGACATATACAACCTAAAGGAGAAAGTGTTCATTTTGGCCCATGGTTTCAGAGGTGTCAGTCCATGGTTAGCTGGCTCCAAGGCAAAGGCAGTATAATGTAAGAATGCTGCTCACCTCAAGGCAGCAAGGAGCACAGTAGGAATGAAAAGGCCAGAGAGAGAGGGGACTGGGGACAGGATATACTGATGGTGCCAAACCTAGAGCATGCATGCTGCAGCAGGCCTGCCGAGCTCTCTCTGCTGGCATACAAGCCACCTCACCCTAGCATCACCCCAACAGCTGAGTATTGGACAACAGTTCACAAAGGGGCCGTGTGAATGCTTAGAAAGGAGTAGCTGCACCAGGCAATGACATCACAAGCATTTTGAGCATTTCGTCTCTATATGCCCTTTGAAGGCACAACCTCAGTGACCTACTTCTTCTAGCTAGGCCCACCTCCAGACAGCCCTTTCTGCTAATGAACTCATCGATGAATTCATCCATTGATGTTATTAGTGTCCCAATGATCAATTGCCTCTCTAGGCCCCAACTCTGAACACTGTTGTGTTGGGGATCAAGACTTCAATGTATGAGTCTGTGGGGACACATTACATTTAGACCATAACACAGAGTAATAGCTTTAGTTTTTCAGGTAAAACTGTGTGTATGTGTGTGTGTGTTGGTGTGTAGATAATGGGTTTCCATTTAAAATCTCATTCTTATTGTGATTTTTGGTTCAAAATGCCCAAAAGTCATGTAATTATATTCTTAAAACTATATGGAATTATGCCTTTTGGCAAATATGATTGAATACCACTCATTTTATTTGGTTCAACAAAATATGTAGTTAAGAAATGTCATCATGAATTTTCAATGTGGAAAGAGTGCAATGTTCAGTGAAATATACTGAATAATATATATGTATGTCCATAAATATTACATGTATAATTTATATACATGATCCTTACTATAAATATATGCTCACGTATATATGAAATAAGACAGAATGGATATGTCTCATATAAAATAAGTTTTAGGACATGTGATCACAGTTTTTTTCAGTGTTGTTTTAGGTATGTTTTACAAGATCATTATTTTATTTATATGTATTTATTATATACTTATACCTAAGAATAGTTTAAAAATCCATAAATTTTTAAATGACAATCAAATCAAAGAATTTCCTTTTAATTTAATGTGGCTGTAATCTTCTTTCAAAACACTACATTTCCACTTTTTTTTTTTTTTTTTTTTTGGTACCAGGGATCAAACTTGGGACCTTGCTCTTGCAAGGCAGGCGATGGAACACTGAGCTAAATCCCCGGCCCTACATTTCCTAAATAATCATTACTTGTATTTTAATTGGTATAATACATTATCCCTTCTGATAAAGTCAGGCTATAAATCTTGGCAAATACATATATTTCTTGTTATTTTTTAGAAATGTTGTTATACACTTTAGGTTCCAAGCAAATGGAAACTTTACATAGTACCTGAAATTGTAATCTTCAAGTAATTTATAGTAACTCAACCACCGTGGAAGTTTGAGGTATTTAGGGAGATCATTGCTTAAAATTTTTATGGAACTATGCAAGCAAGCCTAAAATAAGAAATACAGTGAACATATGAAATGACTTTCTATATTGAATCTGTCGCTACCTTGCTGGTTAACTTTTTTAACCTTTGACCAGTCACTTAATGTTTTCCCAGATGGTCTTTGTTACAACTACCTCCAAACTCATCATGCCCAACCATGGTGGTCTTTGGCAGATGGGGATTCAGGAGATTTAATGTTCTTGGCACAGTGACTACACTGAGACATCCGGCAAGGAAGGCCTGGAAGATGAATAAAGGTCATTACTGAATAGGCCCAGGTTATTATAAAATTAACCCTTGGTCTATTTTACCTTCTTTTGCCTTGATAACAAGAGAATGAAAACCAAAATTCACTACAGATTTCCTTCCTCATTTTTATATATTAAGACACAGATAGAACTGTTATGGCTTGTGTTTAAAATGTCCTCCCAGGGCCAGGGATTTAGCTCAGTGGTTCTGCTGCCCACCTCAAAAGCTAAGGTCCCGAGTTCAATCCCTGGTACCGAAAAAAAAAAATTAAAAATTAAAATGTCCTCCTAGAGCCTCATGCAGTCATAGACAGGGCCTTTTCAGAGGTGGCTGAATCTAGAGTGTGTGACACTGGAATTGATTGATGGTGCATTTGCGACCTCCCATCCACCTCCATGAACTGCTTTACCTGCCACACCACCTGGCCTTGGAGCCAGCGGATTATGGACTGAAACCTCTACAGTGAGCTAAATAAATCTTTCCCTCTTTAACTTTGGATGTTGGGTATTTTGTCTCAGCAATGAGAGAAAAGTAATGAAGACAGAATTTGATACCAGAGAAGTGGGATTGTTGCTGTGACTGTACCTGACCACGTGGTTCAGGAGCCTTTGGGACTGGCTTATGGGAAGAGTTTGGAAAGGTTTGGAGGTGCTGGCTGAAAAAGAAGAGCTAGAATGCTTCAGGCTGCAGTTCATGGGAGATTCTGGTCAGAACTCAGAAGACCAGAATGCTGGAAGAAATGATGCCGGTAAAGACCAGGCTTAGGAGGTTTCTGCTGGGAAGAAGGACTGCATTGGCTGTTGGGACTCCAGACAATGTGTGTTACGCCTTCACAGAAAGTTTGTCTGCATTTTTCTCGTGTCCAGAGACTTTGCCTGAGACTAAGAGCAGCTGACTAATCTGGCAGAAGAAATTTCGAGGCATTATAATGTTGAGGCCATGGCATGGCTATGTTGGCGGAAACAACAGTTTCAAAAGTTCAGACTGTTTCTAGCTCCCCTTTCCAACAAGACCTGTGACAATTACTCTGTGATTTAAAGAAACATACAGTTTGCATTGATAACTGTCAGTATCCTCCAGTGTCTCAAAATTGGGTAGCTATCGTCCTCTAATAAGGCTAGCATCCTAAACTCTGCAGTGGCTATTTTGTGCTTTCTTAAAAAGTAGAATCTTATAGCTGTACAAGTTATATACTGCTCATCTCCAGGGAATGTCATTGTCTCTTATTTCTAGAATGCATTCCACATATTACATTTCCAGAAGATAAAAGGGAAATATTTTGAGGAAGACTCACTTCCCTCTAATAACAATCACCTTGTTATCTAGTAACAAAATTTCATTTTTTTCTCTCCTCAAATCTGATCCTTACCTTTTCTATCATGACCTTCATTCCCAAGCAGCTGACACACAAACTATCTCATGGAAAATTCCATCATCTAATACAATTACATGCATTAAAAACCCATAGGAAAACATATACAATAGTAAATAGGCAATAAATAACAAAATTATCACACAGAAATCAATAGCTTTCTTATATACAAATAAAATTTATATTATAATACATAATAGATGACTCCATTCACAACAAAAATTGAGAGATTAAAATACATAAAAATATATAACAAGAAATGTTAATTTGGATACATAAACTATAACACATTCATACATACAGTGTATGTATGAATGTGTTATAGTTTAAAAGACTAGAATTATCTTCAAAATTTATGTTTGGAAAAAATGTAAATACAAACTGGTGTGTTGAGCTATTATTTGCATGAAAGGAAGGGCAACAGACATAAAGGAATACATTTTGTACTGTCTACACACAAAAAGGTTCTTGGAAGTAAATAGAAGAAAGCAAGGTCAGTTGTCTGTGGGAAAAGAAACAGGGTGGCAAGATCCAGGAAGGGGAAGAGTTCTCACCAGATCTCTTACATAATCTTAAAACTGTGAACTATACAAAGGTTACCTATCCAAAGAGTTGGTAAGAAATTGGGCAGAAAAACAGGTACAAAATGATGGAATGTAGAAAAGGAGAGAATACAAATTCACACATAAGGCAACTTTTGAATATCTCTTCTGCTCTTTCATTCCTACCTAACAATAGATTGTCAACTCTTAACTCAGCACATTGTAATGATAACCCTACTCTACATAACAATGATAAATATATGTGAACTGATCATCTGATTCTGCACTATAATCAAATCAGTTTAACAATGGTATTACTTGAGGTCTCCATTTACTTAACAGATTTACAATGCTCTTATCAGGAACCATTACAGGTAGCTTAACTCTTTTAATCCTTCTATAATCTTTATGAGGTAGATATTATTATCTGTAGATATGAAAAGAGAGACAAAGTCACCTGAGGCCACAACATTGTGAAGTGATGTAGCTGAATCTAAGCCCTCTGGTTCCCAGCTCAGGCTCTTACACTGCCAGCATGTAAATTATTTGATTTCTAATTAAAGGCTACAATTGGTCTCTTATAGACAGTGTACATTTCTTGTTGGTGGCTCTTTTTCATGGGAAGTGTGTTTCGTGAATGCTCTTATTTTCAAAACAGTGTTATTCAGACTCTTTTCAGTATATCATGTGCATTTGTAGTGCAAAGTCCAACATCACTAATACTAAAGCATCCTGCTCTTTGGGTATCCATAATGATACAATTTCCAGCACCACAGTTGGTATAACTCAGTTTCCAGTTAGAAGACGAAAATATTAAAGGCAAGGGAGTGGTTTATAATCACAAAGAACTCTGAGAAACAGATGACCAAACACACACTAGTCAGTTTCTAAATAAAACTGTTTGAAAATCCAGACAACTCTTACCTTTGCTTTCATCATTTTAAAAGAAAACTTTATCAGAGATCTAAATTGTGTTTTTCTTTCTTTATAGGACTTCATTAAGGGTCTTTCCATTTTGCTTCGGGGGACAGTACAAGAAAAACTCAACTGGGCATTTAACTTGTATGACATAAATAAAGATGGCTACATCACTAAAGAAGTAAGTGATGCCTCACTAACACAGCAATCCTCTGAACCATTTTCATTTCTTCAAAATGTTAAATAATTGCAGTCATTAATTTGCAAATCATCTTTTCAGGAGATTCAAAATATTTTATGTGGTGATGAGACATTCAGTAAAGAAATTTAGAACGCTTTGGAATAGTTTAGGTGACTCTCCAAAGAAAATATAAAGCACATCAAGATTATATCCTTGTTTCTCACTGTCATTTTAATGAATACTGGGAAGGAAATAAAGACAGGTTAAAATCAGATGGAAAGAAAATGTATCCAAGGGTCGTGGATTTAGCTCAGTGGTTCTGCCGCCTGCCTCACAAGCAGAAGGACCGGAGTTTGATCCCCAGTACCAAAAAAAAAGAAAAAAGAAAATGTATCCAAACCATGTTAGAATATCTGACCTGAAAACTTTTTTCCTCCATATAATGATCTATGAAAACATGGAATTTTGCAATCATATGGATTGTGGAACAACTTGTGTTTTGTGGTAATGATCTTGGCTCTCCAAACACAGGCCAAACAAAGTAAGATGTTCGAAGCTCACAGTTTATTACAGCAATTTAAAGCAAGAAAGCAAAGTAAAGGGATGATGTAGGTGAATCACACCTAAAACAGGGCAAAGAGAGGGATAGAGGAGGATCCTACGCAAATCCTGGGCATGTTCAATCCTCATATGGCCCATCTTTCTACTTCACTAATATTCCCCAGAGATGAGTTTGAAGAGGGAACTCCAGACTGATGATGCGACCCTGTGCTGTCAGAGAAAACACAAGAAAAGGTGTGTCTGGTCAGTTATAGATTAGCAGTCATGGATGTTGTGATTCTTAGGCAAAGGACACCCAGGGTCAACCAATGGGTACTGAGCTAAGACTTCATGAATATTGAGTGCTAATGCACACAGTACATTTTCTGAATTAGTGTTTCTTGTATATTTGGTGTAGCATATCCATGTATTACCCAGGTGACACAGGAACATTAACTGTCTCTTAGTCCTTCACTTCCTTTCTACCCCTTTCTGGCTTAAAAACATTTCTCATGAATTCTTCCTGTATCTAACAAACTTCTTCCTAATTATCTATGTTGAAAACATCTTAAACATTTTCACCTATTTTACAAATTAAAAACTACACCATCACTTATAATAGATGTGAATACTCTCAACAGTAACACAATCCACCTAATTTACTTATCTGAAACAATAAATCTAAATATCTAAAAAATCAGATATTTTTACTCATAAGATCAAAAATGACAAGGCAAAACTAGATTTGGTTTTATTTTAAAAGTTACTAAAATATTAAGATGTTTCCCAGTTTCAAAATATTTCGACTACCATTCATATATAGCTTCTTCTTCAAAATCAGGAAATACTGAAAATCCTAATCAGCTTTAGTAATTATAATTAATTAGCTGTAATCTGTAATACCAGTAATTCTAAGTGCAATGTATTTTATTCTCAATAAATGGAAATTAGTAACCGAGCTATATAATAACTCAATAAAACAAAGTCTGGAAATCTAAATATTAAACTAGAATATTTCTTTACTGAACATAATAGATATATGAGAATCAATTTCATCTTGAAACCGAGATCAGAACGGATTCTTACATTGTCATTCAACTGCTTTTAAGGAGAAAAAGGTTTTTACTGGTTTTGCCTTTGAAAAATCAAAGTCAAAATTTAGAAACCAAGTGGGAAAATGGGTCTAGCATTTTAGGCTGCTTTCTTCGAACTTGTCTGGACTCTTGTACATGCCCTTTCCTTTCAGGAAATGCTGGATATAATGAAAGCAATCTATGATATGATGGGTAAATGCACATATCCTGTCCTCAAAGAAGATGCTCCCAGACAACACGTCGAGACATTTTTCCAGGTAGGAATAACAGAAGCAGGGGACGGAGGGAGCAAAATTATAAGCAACTTTCTTCATGTTTGCAAAAGCACTGTGATGATTCTAAAGAGTGAAACTATACTGAAAGAAACAATATTTTCCACCTTACTAATTTTGCGATTTTGGTTTTGAATTAACTGGTTAACTGTACTTAGTGAACATTCACAATATCCTAAATAGAACACAAGCATTTCTCAGTTTTCACGTTTTTCTTTCAATTCTCACCAAAAACCCTGTGATGTTAAATATCCTGATTAACCCCATTTTACAGATGAGAAAACCAGGACTCTACAAGTTTCAGCATATTGCCTGAACTCATCATGCAAACAGTTTTACCTAGGACAGAATGACTCTCATCTTTGAAAAGGGCCCAGGCTAGAAAGATTAGGCCACATGATTCTTATTTCCAGGAACCCACTATTTCCTGCTGTGAGGCAAGTCCTCCACATTAAACAATCAGCTGGGTTCTCTTTTTATTGGCTTCCACCCATCCGGGTTCAAGTGTAAGGGTATCTAACAGAAAGTCTTTTTTTTTTTTTTTTAGTTCTTTTATTGGTACATTTTAGGTATACCATTCATTTACATTTATCATTGGGTGTTTGTACCTGTACATTATATATCTTGGTTCTTATTTTTTTTTCCCCATTACCTGTGCACCCTTCACCCCTCCGCCCTTCCCTATTTACATAGATTTCATTTCCATTTTTTTTTCTTTTCTCATAGTTTTTCCTTTCCCTCTTTTCCTTTCCCCTTCCCCTCCCTTCACTCCTTCATCTTTGGGCCCTTTTTCCTATTTCAAATTATCAATTATTCATTATAATCATTTTAACCCTTGTTTACACTATCAGTTTCTCACACTAGTGAAACTATTCGGTATTTACATGTGTGCCCATTTATTTCACTTAAGAGTATGGCCTCGATATGCATCCATTTAGCTATAAATAACTCATTTTTAATTCTTTATGGCTTAGTGCTCCATTTTATTAAAAAACCACATTTTCTTTATCCAGTTTCCAGTTGATGCGCACTTGGGCTGCTTCCAAGCTTTAGCTATTACAAACTGTGCCGCTATGAACATGGGTGCACATATATCACTGTGGTATGATTCTTTTAATTCTTTGGGGAAGATACCCAGCAGGGGAATAGCTGGGTCAAATGGGACCTCTAGCCCTAGTTCTTTGAGGTATCTCCACACTGACTTCCACAGTGGTTGCACCAGTCTGCACTACCACAAAACGGAGAAAGGTTCCTTTCACTGTAAACCCTGCCAGCATTTTCTAACAGAAAGTCTTAATAAATGTTTTGTTCTTTTCTTCCTGTACAGAAAATGGACAAAAATAAAGATGGGGTTGTTACCATAGATGAGTTCATTGAAAGTTGCCAAAAAGTAAGTAATGAGAGGAAAAGAACTAGCACTTCAATTTTACAATAGCTATAGTATTACCAGTTAACCACCATGAACTGAGCAAGACATAAGAATCAAATGTCTTAACCTTAGTATTTCTACCACAGGTAAGACAGGCCTACTACCTTGTAAACAAATGCTAACTTATAGAGTCCTTCAATCACTATAAGAGTGCCTACTCTAAGGCAGGCTACTTAGAAGGCCCTGGAGATACCAAAATACCCATTTACTATGTTTCTTCCCAAACCCTTCATCAGTATTTGCTACTGACAAATAATGGTCTTCCAACACAAAAAAATAAACAGCAGACATTTATGGAGAGAAATGTGGGTGGTTACCTGTCTTCTGGAAAATGAGTGCTAGTTTCCTTAAAATTACTTGACTTGACATGTGTGTAGGACCAGTCAAGATTTAAAAAAAAAAAAAAATCACGGACACAAAGAAGTCTGTTGGTGCTTTAAGTTTTCTTTTTATTATTAAACTCTTGTTCTACACCTTTCCTGACATCTGCTAGTTTTTCATCTTACCTTTGGAAGAATTACCTTTGGAAGAATTACCTTTGCAAGAATTAACCTTTGGAAGAATTACCTTTCAGACAATTAACTCAGTGACATCAACCTAATGGTGTATCCTTAACTTGGTTTCAAACAGTGGAAGCTGTAACTGGTTCAGCCACCATTTCCCAAGATTAAATAGCTCAGAGAGCATTCCCATACAACTGACCGGGATGCCCATAAAATGCCTAAAGTCTGTCCTGGTAGCTCACTTCTAAGGAGAGTGCTAACCTGGACACAGCCACTGTGCAACAGTTTCTTTCATCAGTGCTTTATGTTGGCAATGACAGACCATTCCTTTTTAAAGGCCACACATATTTAGCCATAACTGGCAAACATAGACAAAGGCATATGATTACTTATACATTTGCTCCCCTTAATTCACTACCCTGCCTCCTACACCCTAAGCACAAACCCTTAGAAGTTGGCAGGAAGCTGTCACACACACGGCATTTCCCTGCACTTATATAAAGTTTCTGTGGTTTGGTATGATACATCTGGAATGCCAAAATTCTCATTTACTCACTTTGATTTACCTCCTGTACCTCTCTGGGTGCTAGAAACTCAGCATTATGATTTTAGAAATATCCTCTACTAATAAGAGTTAAATGAAATGTTTAAAAATTCAAGAAAACATCAGATGGGCCATCCATGGTGATCTATGTGGCTAATAGAATGGCATTTATATGTACAAGCAGTGTGTATGCACTGGCGTAGGCAGCTGGCGGAAGGATGCAGTAGTTAAGGGCACAGTAGTGTACTATCTATCTACAGTGTACAATAGTGTATTATCTACTGCAGATATGCCACACTGAATCCTGCTGTGTTCCTCCCTTACAGGATGAAAACATAATGCGCTCCATGCAGCTCTTTGAAAATGTGATTTAACTTGTCAAATAGATCCTCAATCAACAGACAAATGTGAACTACTCTACCATACTTAAAGTTGGAGCTACCACTTTTAGCATAGATTGCTCAGCTTTATACTGAGGCATATTATGCAAACAAGCTTTGTTTTAATATAAAACAATCCCTAGAAGATTTGAGTTTTCCAGGTATAATTTGCATCATTTTCATAATGGCACGGAGTTCATGAGATGTTCTAACTCATTTCATACTCTGTGAATATTCAAAAGTAATAGAATCTGGCATATAGTTTTGATTCTTTAGTCATGGAATTATTCAGGCTTTCACATATTAGCAATTTTAAAATATCAGTGTTTTTTGCTATTCATTTGTATGTATTCAGTCCTAGGATTTTAAATCGTTTTCTACAATATTTACATCTGTATTTCATTTCCAGAAATTAATTTCATTTACTTACATTTATATAACATTAACAAAATAAGATTACAATTAAAAACCAAAAACACATAATTCAATTTCTATAGATTTCCCACTTTCTGTTAAAGACATTAATTTATCTGGCATTTTTTATAACATATTAGTTTACTACCAGAGGTCAGCGTATGCCGAATAAAACTTATTTTAGTAAGCATTTCCTAATTTTCCATATAACATATTACAGCAAAGGCCTACAAAATGTGTATGTTTTGGATTTGTTTAATCGTGCAGGTCGACTGTATCTAGTATGCCATTAAATGGAAGTTCAGAATAAGGATGTTTACAGACATAGGCAAAGGGTCAGGATATCTGTCCTCCCATACACAGTAATACTTAATAAAAAGTAATCCTTAACAGCATTAAAGACCAGTTCCATCTCCTTTGCCCTGACTTCCCCACAGCATGTTTATCTTACAAGCCCTTTGGGGTCAAAGAAACCTTGATCACCCAAAGCCTACCAGGAAGGAACAGCAAGCAGAATCCATTTTGAAAACAACAGTGATTCTATCACATTGACAGCCACTACCAAGAGTTCACAGAAAAAGAATATAAATGCTGAACAACTCATCTGGATTGCATTACAATTTAGCTCAACATAGAACTCCAACAATTCAGATTCTACTTAACGATCTTAAGCCAAAACTGTAAAGTTGCCACAACAGTGCTATAGATACACACATCTTCCCTGTTTGGTAGAAATATCAAAGACCAAGAGGCTGCAGGAGGATGAAATCTGCAATTGTCTTTGCAACAATAAATCAGGTATCTATTCTGGTGTAGAGATAGGATGTTGAACGCTGCCCTGCTACCACCAGTGTAGAAATTAAGAGTAGTACAATACATGTACACTGAAATCTGCCATCGCGTGTTTGTGTAAACTCAATGTGCACATTTTGTATTTCAAAAAGAAAAACAAAAGCAAAATAAAGAGTTTATAACTCTCTCATGTTATGGATCTTTATTCTAACAAGTTTTGTAATTAATTACTAGATTTAAAACATTACGTTTTTCTTATGGAATTTTTAGATTGTAGCTATGTGCAGATGGTACTGAATACTAGAAGAAAAATCAAACAAGACCAGTGGGCAAGCAGCTGTTGTAGCTAGCATGATTTTATGTGATGAAATAAAGAGTGCCACGCTGAACTGGAAAGCAAAATCTCTGAAAGAGGATGAGCGTTTCTCCATCGTGGCCTCTTAGAAATTAATGGTGTTCTTTCTAATTTGAACTGAGGCTGTATCTGAAACGAGAACCGCAAAGAGGTCAATACAGGTGCCTGAGGGGCAGAAAAAGGAAAGGACTTTCTCCAGTGCTTCTGGGATAGAAGACTGCTACTCTATGTTAGACAGTGATTGCTCATCTTTGTCCTTTGCAGTGTGTCATGTGGTTTTGGATTTGGTGTGGGTGCTCGAGTCTCTATAGCCTTTCCTTGCCAGTTTTCTATTCTCTTCTGCTATTCCTTCCTCTAACAGGCTTATCTAAAGTCTTCTACTACATCAATAATTCTGTATCTGGAAATTATGTTCTAAATGCATTCTTTAAAAAAAAAACTAATCATTCAGCATGAGTAAGCACAACAAAACCACTAAATACATGTTAAGAGTTTTAGAATTTTAATTTCTGGGTATCTATATATGATCATCAGTATTTTCAGGCTACAAAATGCAAAAATAACATTTACTTAAATACCAATAATACCTAAAATTTAGGTAGTTTTAGTAAGTTGTAATAAACAACATACTTGTAATATAACTTACATATTTAAAAAATTTTTTAAACTAGAATCTGGAAATAAATTTTTTTCCAAGCACTCTACATTATAAAATACATATTTACAAATAATTTTAGTGAATTCACAAATGTTTTTCCACTATTTAAAACTTCACAACCTTGAGAAATATAAAACCCAAAAAAATGACACCCCCCAGAAATCTACAAAAGTGCACAGCTACAAAATGATTACAAAACAAATACTATAAATAAAAAGGCACTAGAAAAAAAATACAAATACATCTGATTTTGTAAACTCAATAATAGTCCTCAACACAAATAATTATGGAAGTTCTTTTAATAGCTTCTCATTACCCATTCCTTTTGGTTGATGAATAAATGTTACTCTAATTCAACAGGACTATATATATTCATCTTAACTTGTAAATACAAGTAATGAATGGTGGCCGTGATTTACAAAAATAAATAAAATGAACTGAACAAAGGTTTGATGAGCATCCATGGTCAGTGGGTGACACCTATCAGCAGGAAGATGACATTTTTTGGCTCCCTTATTCAACAGCATATAGAGCAATACGTTGGAATTTTGGATTTGATGATTATAAGGCTTCCCTGTCAATAGAAAAAAAAAATGGTATTATTAGTATCATGAAGTTACCCTAAGAGCTATTACACTTGTAGGAGTATGCCTAAAAAGTCTCCAAAACTCAAGACAAATAGAAACAGACTAAGAACAAAATGAGAGAGAGAGAAATGGGAGTGGAACTTTGTTTCTGAGTTAAAAATTTTTTTTTGAAGTATGTGGAGAAGTAGGCACCAGTCAAGTATTTAAATTCACCCTTTCCCAGTTGTTTCACTCAAACCCAGGCTAATTGCTTCTCTGAGCTGCAGTTGCATGATCTATAAAGGAGGGGAACAACAAAGTCTACCTCTGAGGATGGTTCTGAAGAATAAATGAGATTAATGTCTTAAAAGAACTCAGTAGAGTAAGTACTATGAAGTTTCAGTTCTCACATACTCAGTAAAGAAATAAAGATCAGGCTATGTGTAAGATATGCCTTTCCCAAGAAAAATGAATATATTACTTAGAAAGAAAATTAAATCATCCCAAGAAGGAACTGACTTTATTTTAAGGCAGGTAACAAGATCAATTACAAGAAAGTGACTGTGTGACTGTAATGGATGTTTATTTCCTCAGAAGTTGGGACTTTACATCATTATAACATACACATGCCGTAAGAAATGTGAAACTGAACTGCTGACAAGATGTTCTTAAGACTTATTTCTAACACTTAAGAAAAAATCTTACAAAAGCTTTAAGTTCTTAAAAGAGAATGAAGAGCACTCATTAAGTTCATGTAGGGCTGCAAAGTACCAAAAGGAAGCACAATAATAATTAACCAAGAGAAAGTCTTTGATATGTTAACTTCAACAGAAAATTTTCTACTGAAATTACATTCGTTATTTTTAAAATGTTAAGTAGGATGGAAAGAAGGTACCAGAAATCTGAATAAATAATGTTTAAGAACACTGACAATGACAAAACCTTTTTCATTTTATTCTTTAATAATACATTCAAAGCTAATACAACTAAGTCCCAAAAAAAGAGAAACTCTATTTTTCAGCTCTAGGATTATCAAATACATCCTCCGTATTCCAGGTCCAAATCTTAAATGTGCTACTTCTAAAATTTATTTTACACACACACACACGCATGTACACATGCACACATGCGCACACAGATCCAAATCTTAATGTGCTACTTCTAAAATTTATTTTACACACACACATGCATGTACACACACACACACACACACACAAACACACACTCATACCCACCCATGAAATACCATATGTTGGCCCCGTCCTGTTTTATAGTCCCATTTCCCACAAAGGTCCACAGGATATGGAAAACTACATAGGGAGAGTTTCAAAATAAAAAGCAGTCACTATTATTTAGCATCTGTTTACTTGCACTTTGCAGGAATAGAAAGAGCAAACAGGTTTTCCATTCACATTCTTACAACAGCCAGCACATTTGCAAGCAAGCAGCTTCCTTCTAAGAGGGGACACTGGATTGGCTAGGGCCCGGTTCCGTACATCACCTCACCAAGGCATCTGATTGCCCAAGACTTTGACACAATAAAGAAAAGTGTCCAGCAGGATTAGAGATGTACTCCCTCTTCATAAATTTTTCTCTAGGCATTTATCATCATGGAAAGAATGCAACCCACTTAAAAGTCACTGAAAGTAGTCAACTTGGATAATTTAGGCAAAATTTATACCAAAATGTCTTTAATTTAAAACTGTATACAATTACCCAAATTTCTTGTAATTAATTCCTTTAGAAAATGAAACTAATTCCTTATATCAAATGAAGCTAAATTTTGCAATGTTAAGATAATGATATGTAGTTCTATTATTAAAATCTGATAAAATATAATCTCCAAAACAAGACTTATTTCTAAAACTAGATTATCTGAACTTTTTTCAAATGATGAAAATTCAACTAATGGTATTTGACACTGTATAATAATAAAATCCCCCACATTCTCGCTCTATGAACAGTGAGAATCATCAACTGACCTATTCTGGAGTGGGTGTGTGTGAATCATGTGTGTGAGGAAAGCGCATGTGCTCAGTGATGTAAAATATAGTTATGTGCTAGTGTCATTTCTATCTCTTTTTCTGGAACCGGGGATTGAACTCGGGTCCTTCCGCTTGCGAGGCAGGCAGCGGAATCACTGAGCTAAATCCCTGGCCCCTGTCATTCCTATCTTTATGAATAGATCCTAAAACTCCAGATGGCAAGTAGAAGGGGAAAAAGGGGGATGAGGGTGTAGCTCAGTAGTGGACTGCCTGCTCAGAATCTGCAAGGCCCTGGGTTTGACTTCTAAGACCAAATAAATAAATAAATGGATAAAAATATATAATGAGCTCTCTAAATGCCCTCTTTTTAGATTTTTTTCTAGACTTGCAGTAGTCAAAACAAAAGTATCTAAAATATTTGAAAAAGCAAAACCAAAGCTGCAGTACACACAGTATGGTGTGGTAAACACAGTAAAGTATGCAGTCCCTGCATGTGACCTGGGTCTGAGCCCTGGTCACAAACTATGTGACCCTGGTAAGACAAACTCTGAGCTCTAAAAAGACATGTTTAAAAAGAAATATCACACTATCACCTTTCATGGTTACTTGCAGCTGAAGTAATATTTCTTAAATACAGTCAATTTTGTAATTGGATTAAAAATTTCTAAAAATGACTTAAGGGATGATGCTCTACTTACACTTCCACCATGCTGCTCTAGCTTCTGTAATGTACTGGTGATTGGCTCTTTGAATTTCTTGTCCATCAGTCTCTTGGAGAGCTTTTGAAGTAAAATAGGGTAGGCAGCATAAAAAGATTTGAAAAAGTAACTGTTCACAATAAATAAAACTATGAGCACCTCCTAATTTTAAGATTTCAAGACTTCTCTTAGGTAACATCTCAGTAAAATTTACATGTAGTAGACATTACTGTATTTGCTTACCAAAGTGAGTTTATATTATCTGAAGTAACACTAATTCTGCAGTATGTGCTATAGTATAACTAGAGTAAGTTTCCTATGAAATAGCATAGCTTTCATTTTGTAAAATGCAAGCATATTTGGAGGACTATGATAGAAAGCTGTGTCTCTAAAGAACACATTTTCCTACACTAAGAGGTGACAAATAACGGAGCACTGATGGGAATAACTCAGTAAAAACAGATACAGAAATGAGTTACAGCTTAGATCTAGATGCCCCCCAAGACCCCATTCACTTAGGCGGGGCTTTTTGGAAGCTAACTGGATCACAGTGGTCACAGCTGACCAGCTCTTAGGAGGTGGGGTCTAGATGGAAGAGACTGGTCACTGGAGTGTAGTCTGGAAGGGCTCATCTTCCTTCCCTGGCTTCTCCCTCCACTCTCTGCTTCCTGTCTGCCATGAGGTGAGCAGGTATTCCTCCTCCATGCTCCTGCCTTGAAGCCAGCAGATTATGGCCTGAAATGTGAGCTAAAATAAAGCTTTCTTCCTTAAGCTGTAATGAGTATTTTGTCTCAGCAATAAAGAAAGTGACTAAAACAGCCACTTATCCCACTTATCCCAAGGTGTATTCTAGGTGAGTTCTAACTACAGAGTGGAAGTTTGTTTAAAAAAAGGAAAGGACGAAATCACAGGAGCAAGTAGAGAAACAGGCAATGCAGGGAAACAAGCACTTATAACAATATGCCCACCAAATGTCCATTACTGCACCCAAAGACCAAAGCATTTCAGCTGACAGACTTGCTCATGGGTCTTTCTGGAAATACAAATAACGCCCAGGAAGAGTTCATCATTCATCAAACATTCTAAGGCTCATGCCATATAAAGTTGCTTTCTGCTCTTTCCTCCTTGCAGGTATGAAAGTAACCCCATAATAGTACTTCACACCACTGAGCCCTTCATGCTGCAGTGGAAGATCAGGCAAGGTCAGAAAAGACTCTCAAAATGATAAACAATGAGACAAAGGCAACTGGAAAAGAAGAGATTCAGAATGACAAGAAAAACTCTCTCCACAGTCTTTGGGTTTAATGCTTCAGACTGTGTGGCAGGTCTGCCTCCCCAACCGTCTCCTCTTTGGCGATGATTCTGGCTAGGACATCAGTCTCTGTATCACTGTGCAGTAAAGGATTAACTTCACCTAAAGAAAGGTTTGACCCTTGCCTCTACCTTCCGGGTGGTAACCTCTATGATCTCAGAATGCACTGCTGCCAAGAAAGAGTGTCCATGTTAACCTGAGGGCTTTAGGCCAGACTAGTCCAAACGAACAGTGCGATGTATGGTGGGGTCGCTAAGCCACAGAATATCAACTAGATCTGGAGAGGCTAATGCCACCCACACAGGCAGGTAGCCATGCCTGAGTGACAGACCCAGCAAAAACCCTGGACATAAGGCTCAGGTGTCCTCAGTGTTCACACAGGTTGTTGCTGGGAGAGTAAGCAATGACCACACAACTTTGCTAGAAAAGGCAAACCTAAGTCTTGAGCTTGGGCTTGCTCTCTCCTGCTGTGCTGGCTTTAATGTGTACCTTCACGCTGTAAAGAATAAAAAGCCCCTTACCTTTATGGTAAGAAGCTAATCATGAACAACAGCTTCTCTTCATTTCATGAGTATGTCTAGCAAATCATTAAACCTAAGGGTGGTCTCAGAGACCTCCTCAACTGCAAGGTCCCAAACGTATCATCCTAAATGTAATTCATGTACTCACAATGAAAAATAAAGAAAAAAAGAAAAGCTTTGTTTTCATAATACATAATTACACACGAGCACTGTATGAGCACTGCTTATAATTCATGATCACACTAATGACCACAGGTATAATGCCATTATATTGCTCATTAATTTTTTTATCCATTCAACTTTTGTTGCTTGCTCTTCTAGGCACTTTCCACTAAAAAAAAAAAAAAAAAAGAAAAAAAGTGCTCGCTTTGGCAGCACATATACTAAAAAAAGAAAAAAAAAAAAAAAAAAAAGAAGAGAAACATTCTTACTGTCCATTATTAAAATGTTTTATGAATTATGATGTCTAATCTCTATATTTTTGGGTTAGGATGGTGAGATTCTTTTTAAGATTTTGAGATATTTTAATAATTAAAGACATTAAAAAATGAGGAGATACACATGCACAACACTCTCTAGCATTGCAGAACTTACGCCTGTAAGCACGTGTTTCAGATGATCATTTAGAGAAGGACCAACGACAATGCTCAGCTGCACCAAAGCACTCAACCCCCTTTCGAACACTCCATCGTCTGAGTGGACCTGTGGGATTGGTTAATTAAGGCCACAGTGAGGGGGGATGGGGAGAGGTTAGCAAAAAGGGCAAGCAGGTTGAGAAAAAAGTAAGATTAAACATTTAAAATTAGAAGATAATCAACGACATTCAGAATTTTTAAAATAACTTTCAATACAGAAGATCTAGAGGCAAAACACAAATTTTAATTAAAATATATATGTATGTATAGCTTATAGAAAAACTGAAGTGAGGCTTATCACTTGCTCTAATTACTCAAAATGTCCCTTCTTGAGAACATCTTCTAAAGTCACCTTCAAGGACATAATCATGCAGCCCTTCAGGGGCTACAGCCCTTTACACTGGTCTCATTCTGCACATACATCAAACCCACAGCAAAGAACTAAGTTGGATATAATGGAAGAGAGGCATAACATATTCTTCTATCAGAACTTTCTTTTTTCTCATGTGATTTGAAAAAAAAAGTATAGTGAAATAATTGACATACCAGAGCTGCCTTCAGTATAGGAATCAGTCGAGGTAGCAAAGGTATAGCCTTCTCAGGAGCACCTTTGACCAAAAGTAATTCTCTGAAACCCTCCTTGGACACAAAGGTATATGGATGTTTAGTCTCTCTTAGACCCTGACAAAGACACAACACCCCCCCCCAAAAAAAGCATGATTCACTACCATTTTATTATGCTAACAACAGAAAAAAATTGAATTCTTATTAGGTTAAGTGAAACTTCTTGGTGATAACACATAATTTCAGCAATTAAACTTAAATTGCACTGAGAAACTGTGGAAAAAAGGACACACATGAGGCAAAAGGAATATCTGCCCCTAGAAGAGATAGAACAGAAAAGAAATGAACAAAAACATTAAGAAAAGGAAAAGTGAAAGAAATAGGAAAAAGAATAGGAGAGGCAAGAAAAAAGAAAAAATTTTAAATGTAGGAAAAATGGGGAAAGAAAAGATGGAAAACAAAAACAAACAGAAAAAAAAGAAGAAAAATTCACTAGCAAAATGTTAAAATTATTTTGCATGTATTGCTAAACACAGCTGTTTGAAGTGTATGTTTATAACCACCCCATATGAATGCCAAACTACTGGACTCCTTACCTTTACAGTGATTTTACAATTTGTTTAATGCATTCCTAAAATATACTTCCTTATATTTAAATATTTTATAGTCAAATATTTAGAAGGCAAATCTTATACTACATTCAAAAGGATTGTTAAGTTTTTGAATGCAATTTTTAACTCTGGAATGCAATGTATAAGGGGAAAACTTGACTAGATCATTTCTCACTGTGCCATTTACCCTAAATGCTTAAGAAACCATTAAATAGCAATCTTCCATGATTTAATCAATCACTGCAAGTCTCGATAAAAGGACCACCTGATTTTTTTCAGAGGTAAAACAAAGCAAACCAAATAAAACGATACCAAAACTCCTTCAGTTTGACTATCTATAAAGTGAATAAATATAACTTGCCACAAAGCCATGCTTAGAAATAGTAATTTTCAATTAATCTGTCCTTTGCATCTAAATATCTATTTCAAACACTGATCAAACTTTTCCTCGATGCTACCATATTTTTGAAAATTATGCTGCCCAGTGCATGGGCATCATTCAGGAACACAGGTTCTACTGTCTTAGGAATACCTGTATCCCATTCATTTTAGAGATGACAAGTCTCAGCTCAAAAGCTGAAGTGCATTTCAAAAACAGTTTTTCTGTGCTACTTCCCATTATTAAATGAGTAGAAGAGAAAGGTAAAATGTCACCCCATACAGACAGTAGGGCTGACTTGATGTGGCATGAAGTCCAAGACCCTTTGAGAACTCTCAAAATTAAAGCTCTCCAAGCACTCTGGTTAGCTGGAGCAAGCAAAGCTATCACAGCTTTGACTTGTATAAAACAGGGTTTCTTATTATTTATAAAATGTTTAAGTTTAAAAAAGAGCTAAGGAAACATCAAAATTTTTATCTTTCATATCAAGTTTAAAGCCTTTAATCAAATTTACCCTAATTTCAAAATAAGCTATTCAAAATTATATTACTTATAATACCAAAATAATTCTGCAAGCTCAGTTATAAATTATGAAAAGCAAACATTAAGACAACATATCAGCCTTTGGTTGTAAATGACAATACACTTAAGAGACCTTTAAATGCACTTAAATACACTTAAATGCAGTTGTAAACTTAAAGCAAGAACTAGAGATTTTTATGTTTTATTATGAAAAAATCTCAACTGGCAAAATTATCTACTTTTTTCAACTCTAGTCTCACCCTCCGCACACATGATGTTTTTATAGGGAAGGGAAATGTTTCTTTAAATTAAAAAATTTTCACTGCCAAGCTTTTACTGACATACTTACTATTTTATTTTATGTCATTGACTATTAGAATAATATCATCAATGCCTTAATTTAGTCACTTGTTTCTTAACAAAATGGTCTTTAAAAAAAAAAAGTCAAGGAACTAGAAGTTTAAATGCGAGACAACTGGTTAATTCATTTCTCTAGTCCTGATTTTAGGACACTGCTGATTCATTTGAAGATAAGACTTTGCCAGTTTTTCCTGACAAAAATGTTAAACTATATAAAGGAAACTATCAGAAATTTTTAAATAATCCCCTATAAAGACCAGCCCCATGATATTCTACTAAAACACACGCAGTAGTGCACAGAGCTGGCAATTTCTCCTTGTGGACATTAGGTAGCTGAAACACTTTCCTAAGATGTGCACCACATCAACACAACTGGTTGTAGAGACACAGAATCCCTTATTATCTGACGTCATTTAAATTTTAATCCTGGGGCCAGGGATTTAGCTCAGTGGTTTCACCGCCTGCTGAGCAAGTGCAAGGACCCAAGTTCGATCCCTGGTAACCCCTCGCCAAAAAAATTTTAATTCTGTTTTCCTGATTTATCTAGCACAAAAAAAGAATCTTCATCCTCCTTATAACTTCATATATTTTTATTTTTTGAATTAAGTATGAATATTTCACCCACTTATTTAGAAACCCCAAGTAGACTAATATCATGTTTATAAAGTTGGTTAGTCGATTTCTAGTAAATATATGACAATCATAATTACTTCCTAAGGGGGGGGGACATTTTAATACCTATTATTTCTTATTTCAAAAGTACACAACAAGATTTACTGACCATCAACAGAGCATTTAATGCAATTTTAAAAGATTTTTTTAACATCCAAATTAACACTCAGGAGAGATGAACTATTTACCTCGGCCAAAGTAATAAGAAGAGGATCAAATGGAAGATTTTCAGGAGGACATTCCCACTGTAATCTGTGTTTTACTGAACCATGTACCAATCTAAAACACAAAAAATAGCAAATACAGGGATCCTATAATGGACATACTGTTTAGAGTATAAATGTATAAGAATTATGTTCTAACATACAAGAAGATCATGTTTGTAAAGTTATTGCCAAAGCCCACCCACAATATTGTTTATGTCCAAAGCATGCTGTAAGCAATGCAGGCTGCAAAGAGTTAAATCCCTCAATTGGCTTTCTTTAATAAATCTCTACCTCAGAAGTTTCTGTAAGTTTTCATAAACTTCCATAAGTTTAAAGACATTTTCAAAATAATGGCTATAATCCTACAAAGCCCCGCACTTTCAGCAAAGTTGGTAACCCCACATTTCTTAAATCTATAATTATGGTATTTAAGCATTTTATTATTTGTTAATCTTAATAATAATGCTCCAATTGCTAGGTTTTTTTGTCATAATTACAACAAAATACATGAGCTACAGAAATTTTCTTTTAAAATGCAAACAAAATGTAATAATTAGAGAAAGAAGTTTTATAAAGAGCATTTTCATATACAGATCATTTAACCCTAACACTAATAATATAAAGAAAAAGCAGATTTAATCCCTGCTGGAGAAGAAAACAAGTGAGATGGTAAAATGGCCCATTCAGGTAGCTTCTGAATTAGTGTCTATGCACTGAGACATACTGCATCTGTTTAAGGTAGATAACAACGTGACAGGCTTAGAAAGATACACTCAAGGAGCCATCACTGCAGTAAAGGTGAGCCCATTCATCAGCCGCAGACTTCGGCCTCCTCTCAATTTCTCAATTCCTCCAGTGTGGTTTCCCTAACAGCCAGAGGCCTCTATAACTATTTTCACATTTTTAGCAAAACTCAATTGCAGGGGTGGGGTGGGGGATGGGGGGTGTTTGCACTCAAGAACCTTAAAACAGGGCTTCAATTCAAAATCTAAATATGAAATAATAACAGTAAATTGAACACTTTTGAACTTTTGTCCCTCAAAATAGGAAAATATCATTAATAACTATATATTTTTAAATTTTGGAACAATGACAAAAAAATGTTTGATTATCCTTTCCATGATGAAAAAATCAAATTTTCTATCATCTAGAACAGGTAAAAATTAAATATACTGTAAAGAAAGCAGCAAGAATCATATATATGTATATATATATATATGTATAGTACACATATATGTATATATACGTATTATACACATATATGTAATCACATATACATTTAGTAAGATATGTAACTTCATTAAATTGCCAACTTTCACTTTATAAAATAGGACTTTTTTATTTGTAATATGCCCAAACCTATGAATACTTAAATTTATAGTTTTTTAAAAAGTGGTTTATTCAGTTTTTTAAATTATTTCATGGTTTGCCACAGATCTCAGTTCTCAGTAATTACATTTTGGAATTAAATGGTTTTCTTCAACAATGCTTGGAGATCTATACCAATCCAATAGCCAAGGTAATAAGGTATCTTTATTTCAATCTTTCTAGTAAATAAAACTGTGAATACATTTAAACGGAAGACTGTATTGGTTTTACTGAATTATCCTAAAGAATATGGTCAGTTTTAAATTGTACTGATTTTACCTGCAAGGAATACCTCCTTTAGAATAAATAGCAGCAAATGCAGAAGGGGCTCGTGACTGTTCACCAAACTGAAATAAAAAATGAAAATGTTACCATCGCCTCCACTTTGTGCCAGCCAGTCAATTTTAATCCTGAGATCAGAACCAAACAGTCACCCTGATTTTCAAACTGCCATTCTTGCTCAGCTACAACTCTAAGAAAAATTGTCTCAATACTATTAAAACCACAACCAAGCTTTGTACATATTTTGTTAGTCACCTTTAACTTGTTTCAGAAGGTTTGAAGGTGGCTCAAATTCTACACAGATTGATTCAAGGTGAGGGCTGAATGGAGAAGTGGTATTAAAACAAAGAGGAAGTGTATTTGTTTTTAGCTAACAACATATCTCTTACTTGTCCCCAGGCAAATAAAATGGTATGTACAGTTATAGAATCTGTACAATTTCTCCAGACTTCCTTTATGTTCCTATAAAAAAAAAAAAGATTAGGTCAAAGTCTGGTGTGGTAGCACACACCTTTAATGCCAGCACTCTGGAGGACTAAGGCAGAAGGATCACAAGTTTGAATCCTGTCTGGGCAACTTAGTAAGACCCTGTCTCAAAATTTAAAAATTAAAAGGGCTGGAGATATGGCTCAGTGTGAAGGCCCTCAGTTCAATTCCCAGCACTGAAAAATGAAAGAAAACAAGCTGATTATGTTTAACAGAGTGAGAGAATCAATGATTGTGCAAGATTCTCACAAATACATAGCTGAATGTACTTTCTTGGATTATATAACTTCAACCCTTCCAGTTTTTCTATATAGTAAAAGGCCTCCAGACTTTTTGGCATCAGGGAGGGGTTTCACAGACAACTAGAGCATGGTTAGAGGAGGTTTGGGGATGATTCAAATGAGCATGAACTTAAGTTCCTGGCATGTGGGGTTCACAGTAAAGTATGTGCTCCTAGGCAGTAAAGCCAGGGATAGGGAGCAGCCGGGGTCCCTGCTACAGACTGTAACCCCTATCATATTAGGAACAGATTAATTCTACCCTCAAATCAAACCACCATAGCATAAATAATTAATCAAAGACTTGAGAATTTAAGCACAAAAAGTATTTCATCTCATGGTACTTTGACGTAATCACATGAAATACAATTGTCTAAATTACAAAATAAAAATTTAATAACCTATGTTAAAGATATAACCAACTTATTTAAAAAAAAACACATACAAAGCTTAAAAATAAACTCAGAGTACACACTTTCAAGTAATTTATTTGACATAATTTGCAAGTAATTTTTAAAGCTTGTATTGCTTTAAAGCAGGAATTATGACCAGAAGAGTGAAACATTCCTCTATTACTATGAATTACTACCTAGTTTTAAAACTGAATTTTGTATCTCACACTTGTCCTCCAGAGGAAAAAGGAGTTATTTCTGAACAGATCCTCTTTTCCAGTGATGGCGAACTTTTTAGAGCTTTCAATGATACAAGGAGTCCGCTGCTGTGGCACATGTGCCATAGGTTCGCCACCAGTGGCCTACCTCACCCAGCAAGCTACACAGCCTTGCACTGCCACCTCACAGTTTACACTACTACTGAACTATTCTGAATGCCATCCAGAATTTCTTCTATTTGCTACTTCTGAGCTACTGATGAAGGAAGAGTACATGGTAATTAGAATGAAGAACACAGATAACGTGTATGTAGGAGTGAGGGTGGACGTGAGAAGGTGCAGAAACTAACAGGTTCTGATTTGTTTTCTATCCTAGCATCAATGAGAAACCTGTATTCATTTGCCATATTCTGCTAGCTTAGTCAGCCAAGAGCCTCAGCTGCTCTCACAATCCTCTTCAAAGCAGGAAACCATTATCATCTTACTCTGTATCAGTGGTGGCGAACCTTCTAGAAGTGGGCCGTTTGTATCACTGCAAGCTTGAAAAGGTTCACCATCATGGCTCTATGCCAAGGCTGAGCACAGGCCAGACAACTCCTGGTGGTGTTACACCGCTGTTTTAATTTCCAGACAATTCACTGACCTACAGAGTTACAATTCGTGTACTTTCATATAAACAAATCTCGTGTTTTGCTAAATGTGATTAAATTCCCTTAGAGAGGGTAAAGGGAGGCTAGTATTACAGTCAGGACTGTTGATAGAACTAATTTATAGAATGTACAGGAATGGCCAAATACCTTTATGCAAGTATATAAGCATATCAACTGAGTAAGTTCTCTCACTGATGTTAGTAAGTAAAATAACAAAAAATAAAAAATAAGTTGACTGTACTCTATGCTCCACATAGTTCATCAACGAGTCTCACAGGGCACACCAAACTCACTGAACTAGTTCAAAGCAAACAAATGTAGCAAACTGAGCATTTGGAACAGTGCAATAGTAAGAGGCTAAATGCATATTACCTGTAAAAACCTGTGACTCGGGAATCTGTTTTTGTACTTACAGGGTTAATTGTTTTAGGGTTCAATTTATCACTTGGTCGAGGATGAAGTTTTCTTACAGACTCTGGAGAACTGGTTGAGGATGTGGATTTGCTTCGCTGAATGGCAGTCCTCTGTTTTATTTGTGCAGCTGCGGATGTCCTTTGATCACAGTTACCTGGAAAAAACAGGTATCATCAACAAAAAAGAGGTGAAAGTAATAAAGTACACCCGCATCATTTATAACACAGAAGGTCTCATTAACAAAGCTGGCTTCTTCATTTAGAAACAACAAAATTCTGACCTGTTACTCTGCCTCTCAACTCTACACTTGCAGGACACCCTGGTTTCTGCATTGCTTCTGTTTTACTCTGCAGTTGATTTCAAAACTTGTTTAGCTGTGATTAATATAAAGATTAAAACAGAATACAGTATAAAATAGAGTAAAATACACATAAAATATATAGCACAGAGCCAAATATCTGAAAAAGACTAAGGGGAAGGCAGGAAATTACAGCAACTTTATTAATTAGAGTAACGTCAAAAATACAAACCATCTGCAAGAAAACAAAATATATAAAAAATTTTTCCCACTTGAATTGCCAAAAGTACAATATAAGAAGCTCATCCGCAGTACTCTGGCCACGTGAAAAAAAATACACTGGATTTTTAAAAGGAGTGGTTTGTACATCTACTTATGCCAAAAAGTTGCTCCTGTTACATAATAATGCTTTATATTTTGAATGAGTTCAAAAAGTCTCAAATTTCTCATTCGAAAAATTTAAACATGCTAGAAAATTGAGCTTGCAAAGTTTTTAATGTATACAGAACATTTTTATATGCACCATATGTAACTTTCAGCAAAAACTACATATATATAATGCAAATATTTCTATGTATAATTTCAAAATATTGTATATAAATGAGTGTCTCTCCAAAACAATTTCTTTTCCACTCATTCAAATTATCCCTATTTAAGGCAAGTTAAGTTTCCTCGATTTTTTAAAAAAAGAAAAAAAAAAACCAAACCACCTGGGAGCACACTACTAACCACCTTTGCCATGAGCTGTCTGTGTAAGAAAAATGATTAATTCATCTTACCCTCAACAACTCTTTTGAGTGTTTTCTCCATTAAATACCGTGTGGATAAATGGCGATGTAGAGCAGTGACAGGGAAAGTGAAGAGGTAAGAAATATTTTATTTTGTGTTATAAATATTATACAAGTCACCTTTCATTTCATTCTTTTGCAGAATATGAAGATTTTAAATAGACGCTACAATCCATAGCTCCACCAAACGTGGAACCCCAGCTATGTCACAGTATCAGAGAAAAAACAAGGTTACTAAAGCTCCACTGCAGGGCCATTTTCCCTTAGAGTGGATACTGCAGGTCACCTACAAGGCACTTCCTTCTGGCACCTGTGTCAATGCTAGCAAATCACACCATCATTGTTTTGGACAACTCGAATACCCTATTCACTTCACTATATCTTTCTTCCCCAACACAGTTTCTGAGAGCATTGTACTGCTTGTTAAAAAAAACTCTAGGGGCAGATCCCACCGTTTTTCCTCCTCTCTAATCTGAAGACTACAAAGCTCCAAAAGTTTAACAGGCCCCTCACTAGAGAAGGTGCGTTCCACACTTAACGCTCTCTCAAATTCCGAGGGACAGAGTGCGACACCCATTTACCCCAATCAGTTCTACCCTAAAGTAATCCTAAAATCTGCCTTCTATTTTTCCAGCATCCTCACCATCACCCGCCTCCGAATACCTAATGCCTAGTTTCGCGACTAGTGAGTTGTCAGTTAGAAAGCGAGGAAGACACGTAGAAAGCAAGGGCAAAAAGCAGATGCTAAAAACGGGGAGGGCGGGAGGTGGACGGTTTCAAATACGGCCTACGAAGCCGGACCCAGGCTGGCGCTCGGGGCGCTCTGGGTCCTTAGCAACCGCGTTCGGCGGCACCCGGATGCACGGCCCGCTAGGAAGCCGGCTCAACAGTGTGCGCCGGCAGGAACCTCATCCCTGAGGTCCCGCTTAGTCACTCGTTCCTACCGCGCCCCTCTCCGCCGCGTTCTTCACACAGCCGCCGCCTGCGTGGGCTCGAGGCCCGCGCCCACCACGTCCACGTCCAACAGCCAAAGGCGCTGGCGCCAACCACTAGTGTTCGGCGAAACGAGGCTTCGCGCCGTTAGCGCCCCGGTCGCCGCGCACTGGCGTCAGACGCACGCTGCGTCCGTTAAGCCAATGGCAGAGAGGCCGCGGTAGCGCCGGCGGCTGAGGACGGTTACCGTGGCAACCAAGTGAGTGGCGTTCACAGGGCCGCGCCCGCCCCAGTGGAGCTGTTTGCTGACAAAAGGGCCCCTGGTGGGAGATCTTTTCAGAATGAGAGTTTCTAGAAGCAGAGGAGATGACTAACTGCAGTCTTCTTCGACCCAACCTCTTCCCTCAAATATTTAGTGTTCTCTGTTCTGCCTGTGATATTCTAAGAGCTAAGAATTGTGAACTCCTGTTCCAAAGCCATCTGGCTTAGCTAACCAGCTGTGGAATTTACCTGACCTTCCTGTTCTGTCTAGCTAATGCATAAACCCAGCTGTTGAAATTCTCTTCCTGTCATATTTTACTAATCCATGTGCTATTACATTCAACTACAGAATGCACCCCTATTCTGGTAATTAAAAAGCACATGCTTTTGTCCTCAGAAGTATTTTAACTAACCTGATGTTGCAGAGAAATGTGTTTCCTCTTGCTATATTCCACCAGCATCAATTTGGGTTGTCTCATGTCTTAGTAAAGCGCTGAAACTCTTAGACCTGTCTATTGCAGTCTTTCCTAATCTTCGCCGGTTGCCAACCCAGTCTTAATTTTCTGCTCAAGTGACGCTGAAGTACACAATTGTGCAGTCCTTCTGTGCCCTTATAGCTCCATTCTTGTTACCTGACTGTAACCCCAGACGCATCTTTTAATAGGGTGTGTGTTTCTTCAGGACAAGGACTTTATCTTTTATATTTTCTCCAGCTTCTAGTGAGTACTAAGGAAATGCTTTCTGAGTGAATAAAATGAATGAGTGCATGAATAGAATGAATGAATTCTGCCCATACTTAATTTCACTAATGCTTTAAGAAACTTGCATAGAAATCTACTTTAATTTTAAAATTTATTACATTTTGGTTTTTGGTACCAGGGATCGAACTCAGATCCTTGGGCTTGTGAGGCAGGCGGCAGGATCACTTAGCTAAATCCCTGGGCCTTAACATTTATTATAATGTCCAAGTCTGTATTCCCCATGACAGTCAAATTGTCTTCATTGATTTTCTATCCCCAGTACCTTTCACAGCGCATGCTTAACTAATGGTTTGAAAAAAAGTGGGAAATTTAAAAATGTCCTGTATCTTCAGCTACTTTTGCCCTATAACTTATCTTCTCCATCTTCCTCATATCTTCCTTACCACTAGCATTTTCAATGTCAGATTCAGAAGTACATGCTCTTGACTGTCTAATCCTTCTACCCTGGACTAAAAGAATGATTTGTATTCGATATTGCAGAGAAGCAATGAGCATATTGCTCTGCAGATAAACTCTAAATCTGAAATTTACCCAACTTCTTATCAGATACGATGCCTGTGCAGAACAACTCCGCTGACCCTAAATGTTCTCATCATAGGGGCCTTGTGAGACTAAACAGCATGGGTAAAGTACCTGGCACATAGAAAGTGCTCAGCATTAACTAGTACAATTATCCAGGTGAAAACACATAAAATGAACACGCAGAGGCCAGGTGTGGTGGCACACACCTGAAATTCCAGCACTCCGGAAGCTGAGGCAGGAGGATCATTGTGAGCTTGAGGCCAGCTTTGGCTACATAGTGACTTCAAGGTCAGTCTAAACTACATAGCAAGACCCTCTCTCAATAAAATAAAATAAAATAAGCATACAGGGTTCTATAAGTAACAAAAGTCTCAAGGTATATCTTGCAGTATTGACCATAGACAATGTCTTGAATGTTCAGATCTTTATAATAACCATTATTACCTGTGTAAATCTCTCTTAATCATAATTAAAACAGTTTCCTCTAAATTTTCTTCAGTTTGTAAAACAACAGGCTCATTGGTGTTACACTTTGTCAGAATATCATGCAATAAAGGGTGGACTAGCTTGAGAACTAGTTTGAGAAGTCTGTAAGGTGTCCACATGAAGATGATGAGCAGAGAGCTGGATATGCCTGTCTGGAGGGTAGGGGAGGGTGTGGGGTGACTTGCGGATTTTAGAGCCATCCTCGTGTACATGGTAACCCGAGGTATGGAAGTAGATGAGCACCAAGAGAATATGCACTGTTCAAGAAACAGCACTGATGGTGGACATTTGTGTTCGAATTCTGCTCCAGTTTTAAGGTGAAAGTCTATATTTGGGAGGGGGTGTAGAAGAATGAAGGAGTGAAACTGATCTTTGTGCCTAGAAGTTTGATGATTATTCTGAAAACAGAGTGTGCCATATATTTTCTGTTAGCCTCTGCAGATCCACTCTCCACCATCTGCCCTACTATCTGCTCTGGGAAACTTATCGGTATGAATGTTCTCAATGTGGCTCCTATAACCTCCAGCTTCTGTTTGGGTTTGGCTAATGAACAACACTAATGACAGATTAAAGAAATTAGGGTATAGTGAAGTCAGTGTATCTTTCCTATTCCCCAACCCATATGAGGTTCCTCAAGTTTGCTTGTTATTCTTAAGTGAAGATCACAGCTCCTTTCTGCTGTGGTCAGAATTTCTGTGTTTCCCTCGAATTCAAATGTTGAAATCCTTACCCTCGAGGCGATGATATAAGGAGATGTGGGGTGTGGGGGAGAGCCCCTATGAATATGACTAGGGAGTACCCTTATAACAGAGGCTTGAGAGAGACCACTCCTGCCTGCCACCATGTAAGGACCCAGTAAGGAAGGCACCATTTATGGACAAAGTAGGACCTCGCCTGACACAGAATTTCCTCATGACTTGACCTTAGGTTTCACAAACTCCACGACTGTGAGAAATACACATCTGTTGTTTATAAACTACCGAGCTTGTCATGATTTATTCTAGCAGCCTGAACAGACTAAGATTAAGACTCTGTCTAAATGGCCAACTAGGGACAGGCATGAAATATCAGGGACTTCTAGTTCTGGATTACTGTACCATCTATGTGATTCACCTATACCTTTATACATAAAATATTTTTGAATTATTCCGTTTTTAGTATGTTACTACATATTATATAAATTGTAATTAATCTAACCAAAGTTTAACATTCAGGACAATAGGTTTTCTCATTTTTTGATTTGCTTTGGTTGATTGATTGAACTACCTGCATTTGTTTGGTAACCAAGCATTTTAAAGACAACATCAGTGGTATTAATGGCTTTGTCTTAATCACTGTGGAAAAAAATCTCTTCCTTTTTGCACAAATTACAGACCAAGCAATCATTCCCAGTGATTATTCCCAAGTACCACTACCAGGAAATGAAATACAATACATTTTGTACATAATTGCCAGTACACCCTGTAAGGGACTGCTAGACATCATCATTATAAAGTCATTAAAAGTCACTTGCACATGGAAAAAATTAAGCAATGATAGTAACTCTGCAGGTGAAAGCAAATGATACCAACATAGATGAGCATATAAGACCCCATTGTACAACAGAAAAATAAGGCAAGTCACATAGAAAATTTCCAAGTCACACATTTTTAAAAAGTAAAAAGAAAAACTGAAATCTATTTTAATAATATATTTTATTTAAGACAATGTGTCCAGAATATTATCAGTTTAATATGTAATTAATAGCATTATTAATGGGAGATTTTCTTTCTTACTATCTGGCCAAGTCTTAAAAATCAGTGTGCATTTGGGAGTTACAGTATATTTTAATTCATATTTGACTCATTTCAAGTCTTGCAGAATCACTTATGGCTAGTGGCTACCATATTGGATAACAAAAACAGAGAGAGCTATGGCTACAGATAGATAAGTATTATACAAAGTGAATAAGTATATCAAGTAATTACCCAGAAATATTGTATGTGAAATGCATTATTTGGTGTTTGAAGACAAACACCTATGAATTTGGCAAGAATTTCAGACTAGACTCAGTGTGAATAACTACCTCCTCTATGAGTCTTAGTTGTATGTAATTTCTTTTATAAAATCTCCCTTTGCCCAGGAAAGAAACTTACTCTTCTCCTTGGAATTGTGTTGAGTGAATGAGGCTTTGAGGAGTGAGGCATCAGATCCTTAGTCATCTGTCTCTGTCCTTGTAAATTGCTTGTTTGTGTCTCTTCTCAGGTTCTCAATGGGAGTAAATTCCATTCTCCTCTGAAGTTTCCAGGACATATTGTATTCTTCTAGTGTAAAGTGAAAGAAATCTATCAGTTGACTTCTGCCCTGCTGAGATCATTGGAACCTGTGAAGCTGCAATAAAATCATTTTCCTAGACACACTTGGTAGCCATTTCTTCTCATCTGACACCCTGCTAGTTTCAGGGAAATCTATAGCTGTATCAGTTTGAGGACATTCTCCTGGGGAATAGGAGGAAGGTGGGGTAGGCATATTGTCTTTTTGCTCTCAGATTGGATTTTGACTCTGATCGATGACATATTCTTTCAATTAATAGCTGTCCCTGAACTTGGCTTTTGAAAGTCAAAAGTCAAGAATTTCACTCTTGTCAAATTTTGAGAACTCCTCTCTGAGATACTAAGCATAAAATGCTTCTGGAGGGCAAAAGGTCTAGGGTGGCAGGAAATACTATGTTTACAGAAAAAAAATTATTGTATCAGTTTATGAATGATTTTTATTATCTTCTATAATTTTTATCAATTTTATAGAAGTATAATCAATAAAAATTGCATGTTTTGATATACATACATGTCATAAAGTAATTATTATAAGCAAAGTAATTAATACATCCATCACCCATATAGTTATCTTTGTCTGTGTGCATGTAGTAAGAATATTCAAGATACACTGTCTTAGCAAAGTTCAAGTATACAATAGTTTGATTAACTAGAGTCACCATA